CTTGAAGTGTAAACTTGTTTAATAAACCATATCTTTCATTTTCGATTTTTAATTCACGTAGTCCGGGAACTTTCCGGACAAACTGTGTAAATACTTAAATAATAAATTAAAACTTGATTTAATGCTACCAAAAATTATTTTTCTCTGTATTGTAAACTACAAACAATTAGTTCTTTAAAAAATCTGTTTTACAAAAGAAGTGATATCAAAAAGTAACATTAAGTAAACTTTTGTTTGTTTTATAATTATATTATACTACAAAAAATATCTAGAAAATCTCTTCTATAAAAGAAGTGATATATAACTACTACAAATTTATCTACACAAAATCTATTCTACAAAAGACGTAATATATATTATAATAATAATAAAGTTGTTTTGCATTAAATATGTTTTATTAAAAAACCTTTTTTTTTTGGTACACTTGTGTGTTCTAGTAAATGGTTTTGTAAATATTTACGAAAAATACCGTTTTGATAGGTTACTTGTTAGTTTCACCAACAAATCGATGTTATAGATAACGTTTTGTTATCTATAACATCGAGTACTTCGGATATACGTAGATTGTCTGAACAGTTTTGAGCCTAACATAAAAACAAGTATTTTTTCGGTCAAATTCAATTTGATCTTTAACGATCCTCGTAAAACGTGATCTATAAAGTCTACATAAATTTTTGAGTTTTTACACAAATATCTTAAAATTATATTTGGGAGATATACGGGGTCTTTCATACATGAGATGCAAGTATAGCATCCTGTATGATTTTAAGAATTGAAAATTTCAATTCAAAAATTCACGGGTAAAAATTTACATGTGAACATATATATAAATACATTTGCACATATATAAATATGTACGCATGTATATATAAAAATATACATATGTATGTATATATGCATGTATGCATGTATGCATATATATAAAAGTATAATTTGGCATAACATTCTTCAAAAACAGCTCTTATGATCTTATTCATATTTTCTTAGTTCAAAATTATATATATAAAGTTTTTTTAATTGGCGTTACTACTGTGTTATTATTATAATATATATTATGTCTTTTGTAGAATACATATAAATGTTGTAGATAAATTTGTAGTAGTTAGGGGAAAAATGGCATGAAAGAGCCAGGTTTTGAAAGAGCCATTTTCAATTATTCGGCAGTTTCTGAACAAATCTCACAGAAGTTTTATATAGCATCAATAGACGTGTGTCATCCACAAACATTTGACAGATTATTGAAAATAAATAGCGCCGGTGCATTGTATTAAAGATTTTGTCATTGAAAAGTAAATTTTTAGGTTTTATTTCTTCGTTTTTTAACATTTTTGTGTAAAGAAATAATATAAAAATTATTATATCACAATTTTATATATGTATTTATAAAGTCTCCTAAATATGTAAATATTTCTCATTCATAGCGTTAATTTGATAGTGTATTTTGAGATTATAATTTTTAAGAGGAAAAGTTTTGAAAAAGCCGGCTACCAAACAATCAAAAAATCATCTTAATAAAGCATCTAGCTCTGACAGTGAATGTAACGATAATTTGTCTTCAGATTCTGATAAAATATTATCAAAAATAAAAAAAAAAGAAACTAGAAAAAGAAAATAATAATAATAATTGTATAGTGCGCACTAAACGTTATAAAAAGAGTAAGCAAATATGGTTTCAGTGTAAACTTTATTCTGATTGGACATATAAAAAATGTGGGATAAAAAAGATACTAAATTATTTTTGTCAAACTTTCTACTAAAGATACCTAAGAAATTAAGTTTTTTTTTTCAATTCTAAGTTTAAAAGTTGTTTTAAAAGTTTGAGTAAAATAGTAAACGTTACTTAGAGTTAAGTAAAAACTATATAAATTTACGTTGATGGTTTTGTTAATTTTGGAGAGATTGTTATGAAACTAGTTTTAGCATTTTGGTTAAATATTGTTTGTTAGTAATTATATTACTGTTTTGTTAACAATTGTATTAATGTCTATTAAGAATTTGTTTATTATTTTGTTTATAAACAGTTAAAGATTCTTGTTATAAGAAGTCGGCTCTTTTATAACATTCGATGAATTTTACTTTTCTTTTAAGTGAAAATATGTTTATTAAGCTTGTTAGATTTTGTCTTTTTGTTTATTAACTACCACAAACAAATAAGTAACCTACAAATTGAAACAACAAACGTTATGTTTGATTGCTTTTTAAATAGTTTTTTTGGCTCCATACTAAAACTGGCTTTTTCATGCCACTCTTCCCGTATATATTACTTCTTTTGTAAAAGAAACTTTGTGGATGTTTTGTAGTTTATTATAATGTAATATATTATAATTATAAAACAAACAAAAGTTAACTTGGTGTTACTTTTTGATATCACTTCTTCTGTAAACCAGATTTGTGTAAAGAAATAATTGTTTGTAGTTTACAATACAGAGAAAAATAATTTTTTGTAGCATTACATCAAGTTGTAATTTTATTATTTGAATACAATACGTGTAGTGCGTATACTTGGCGCCAGTTTTTTTTTTTTTTTAAAGTTTTTGAGATATTACACATTTTGTATTTTGCAATATTATCGGAACATTTTTTCTCGCCGGCATTCATTATATACCACTGGAGCGATAAAACAATACAAGTTTTTGACACAGTTGTTATTTGGCTGGGAACCGAAAATTATTATATAAATGACTCATGTTTCGAAGTTCAAATAATTTGCGTTCATTATTTATACGACTTCAAAGTGTAACGAAACTCGCGGCAGTACGGGTCCGTCTTTCAATTCGTAAATACCTACTTCCTTTCACCTGAAGATAGATACTTAGAAAATTATTTGTATATCGTGAACAGAAAATCACATAATGAGTGTTAGCAGTGTTTATGATTATCTTATGATTGACTTAGCAGGTAAATATTTCTCATTAATTGGGTCAATTTGATTTTTTATATACATAGTGCTCTGAAAATTTTTAATGTGCATATAAATGCTGATGCGTTTACTTTTGACACGTACTATGTAAAAAATTTTTCTAAGTTATATATTCTCAGAAGGTTGTAGTTATTGCTTGTTGTGTATTAAAAAAAATTATTAAAAATAGTCAGTGCTCGGTGTCTTGATAAAAAATAATGTATGTAATTGTGCGTACATAATTTTTTAGTCGCTCAAATCAATCAGTGTAAAGTAACTATTCGCTACTAAAACGATGAACACTCAATTTGAAATAATTTTTGACGGTATTTAATTATTGTTGTTGTTATAATACTTGCGTCTTGACACAATACTTTTCTTACAAAACTTTTTGTGCTACACATTTTTATTAAAAAAGAATCGTGTTTGTATATTACCACAAAATGTGTAATATCTTAAAAAATTTATCTTTTTAAAAAAAGATACGAACAGGCGCCAAGTACACACACAACACGCATTGTATTTAAATTAAAATCTTAATTCAAACTGTTTTTTATTTATACAATTGAGATTAAAATAAAAGTGACTAGTTTTTGACGGTTTTGAAATATTGCTCAGTGAAAATCTTTCCTCTTCTCAAATATCTGAAATTCGCGTATTTAGAGACACAGTGTGCTCACATATTTGAGCGCGATTTCGTTGCGCGTGAACTTGGCGCGAGGCATTGCCGTCTTCTGATATTTATTAATTTATAACTTGTTCATTATACAATTTAATGTATATATGTATGTATATCGAAATGTTTAATATTTACGAGTTAAATGCTCATTGAAACATTCGTACTACAATTTACGGTTTATACGAGCCTACCTGCTCGGTGTTCGTGTAATTATAAATATAGTTTAAAAAGATCTACTGGCCGAGATGTCTTTTTCGGAATGAAGATTTTATTTTCCCCAAAAGAGGATAAAATGAATATTTCACATATTTGTGATGCAAATATTATTTAAATTTTCGAATAAAATACTTTACTTGTATTGTTGATATGTATTAAAGTATACGACTTTGAAAACTTTTACAACATATTTATAATCGCACAAACACCCAATATGTAAATAAAAAGCCTAATTTTTAGTGTGTTTAATGAGTGTTGCATAGAAAAATTTATTTTAAATATTGTACTGCATTTTTATTTGTAGATCCGGTCACGCGTAATTGGGCGTTAGTAGAAACGCCATTCCCAATAATAATTATAACCTTTGCTTACTTGTATTTTGTACTTTACGCCGGACCAAGTTACATGAAGAATCGACAATCGTTTAATTTGAGGATTTTTATATTATTTTATAACGTATTTCAAATTCTTGCTAATGCGTGGCTGGTGCACAGTTACGTATCTGCCGGATGGTTTACTAAATATAGCATAAAATGTAGTAATAATAATGATCTGACGAGTACAAATGGTTCAAAGGTATGTTTTTATGTTAACTATTTGTCACATATTTGTCTGCAAAAACAATGTAATTACTACATTTTCTTTTCTCACTTTAAACATGTAATAATTAATATTTATCAAATTTGTACATTTCAGCTAATAATTATTTCATGGTGCGTTTTAGTATTGAAACTAATTGATTATATCGAAACCTGTGTATTTGTTTTACGAAAAAAACAAAATCAAATTACTACGTTGCATTTATATCATCATATGTCTACTGTCTTTACTGGATGGTATTTCCTCAAATATATAGTGGAACCCAGACTAACATTTGTGTGTTTAATTAATTGCTTTATACATGTTATCATGTATATATATTACTTTATTGCAGCATACAGCACAACCATGCAACAAAAAGTATCTGGTTTTAAACCTTATGTTACGAAATTACAAATGGTAAGTTCTACAGTATATATATAAGTTTGTAAAGAAGGCATATATTACGCATGTATCATATAAAACAAAGTTTTCACATTATATTTTACAATTGAACTTCATACATCATAATATTGTTACTACCTGTTCACTTAATTAGACGAATTTGTACTTTAATTAGTTTTAACTTTTTATGGTAAATTTATACACAACAATATATTTTGAAATTATAATTTTTAGATAATATAAAATATTTGTATAATATATCATTATAAATGCGTGATTATTAATATAGTTTCTATTCACAACATTATAGACGCAGTTTGTTGCACTGATATACTATGGACTACAGGCTTTCCTAGATCCAGAATGCAAAGTACCACAGCGAGCAGAAGCATTTTTATTCGTATTTCTTTTGAACATGCTACTATTTCTCTACTTATTTTATGACTTTCATAAAAAGACATATGGCACAAAACAGAAACAGAAAACTGCAAAACACGAAGAATAAAATTTATGTATGTAACAAACAGGGTTGAGAAGTAACACGTTACTTGTAACGTCGTTACCGTTACAGTTACTTTGTAAATGTACGCTAAAATTAGTGGCCGTGAGAGTTAGAAATAAAATACAATAAGATATGAGATAGCCGCTTCTCTTTATTTCAAATCACATCATTATAACATGTTAAATTGAGAGTAACCAAGTGTTTTACTAACATTCAATTTCCTAGCCAGTTCTTTGCGATAGATGTGAAATTTTATCTAAAACTTTCTGCAGATTTTTATGTTTAAACTTCTTTCTCTGCATGTAGGATAAGACCAAGCGTTTTCTGAAGTTTTGCGAATTTTTCANGGTTTGTAAACGTTTCCAAATACATGTTTGTAAAACAATCAGTTTCCTAGCCAGTTCCCATTGCGATGTATTTAAGTTTTCATCAAAAAGTTTCTGCAATTCTTTATCTGGAAACGTTTTTTTCAAACATGAGTGTACGACTTTTAATTCAAAATTGCCACGTTCGAATCTGCAAAATCACTTTTCGCGTATTTGGATAAATGGTGCAGACTTACGATAACTTTGTTTTATAAGTTGATAAGCTTCATAGTCTAATTTGTTTTGATCAAAAAAGAAAAAAAATTGGTGTCGAAATGTCGGATATCACAATCTATGGTTTTCACGCGTAGTACCAGATTTTGTAATCAATGATTATGTTTAGATGACTACTTCTGCATTTGTTAAATCGCAGAAATATTACAGCTTGATATAGGACAGATAATGAATATAAATCCTGTACTAATTTAAATCAAAAACGCCATTTAAGTGTCAAACAATAAAATTTATTATATGTATTTATGTATGAACTTTATTATATGTATGTATTTTATTATATATTTTTTTTGTATTAATACATATTCTTATTATATATATTTTTTGCAGAAAAAATTAAATAAATAAAATGTGTATACTTTTACATTCAAAAAAGTAGTCAAATTACTTTACAAAATAGTTACAAAAGAAAAACACATACGCCAAATACATAACACTTTCAAAACCGTATTTTCTAAAATATTTGATAAAAAGAAGTCTTTTTATGAGTCTTTTATACGCATGTTGCGCATAACTACGATCTGGACACGCTACATTTTTGTACTTTAAGCTCATTTACGGAGCATATGGTTTTTAAGCAGATTTGTCACAATTCTTTAAAAACTTGCTATAAGATGTCATTTTACATTATTATGATTTTAATAAGTCGGCTTTTATTGTCAATTTGTCGTCAAATTTATTTTCAACAGATATTGATTTTATTTGAATTTAGTTNTAATCATTTCTGTCAAAAACATTTGACAAAATCTTTATTTTGATAAACTTATTTTAATTTAATCATTTACTATAAAAATGCTTTAAAAACTGAATACAAATACTTAATCACTTTTTTTAAATTGACGCTACTAGAGTACTTGGCTAAGTGCGGTAATTTATCTTTTTTTTGTATAGAAACACTAGATGTTTATATAGATTTTATGAAAATAAAGTGATTACTTTCTAGACAAGTATTTAATACATGTGTTTTGTATGTACGTTTTGATAAAAAAAACTTGTTGTTATTAAACAGTTTAGGAAATAGATTTTGTAAATTTTTATAAAACTTAAATTTTATAAAAATAGATATATATAAATTAGTATTACTCTTTAGACAGATATACGAATAATGTTTTGATAAAAAGACTTATTTTTATCAAATTATAATTGTTTTCAATGTACTAACACTGCAGTAAAATAATTTTTTAAACTATTTTCAAGCAACATACGTGACACTTCTTGAATATAAATTAAACTGGACTATGAACAACATTTTGAGTCATAATTAATTACATGACTTTTACTTTGTAACTACCTACGTGGCATAATCAGGGACGAAATTAAGTATGCGCAAACAACAATCGGTATATATTTAGAAAAACGGAGCACCTTTAGAGGTCAATGAGCTTAACATATTTTGTCAAGGACTTTCCTGAACAACAATCTGCAACTTTAGCAGTCGCTCGTTGTTCGTTGAAAAAATATAAACAAAAGAAATATCATAAATGAACTCTTATTTTCCGACACCGTGCACAGTTTGTTCGTGTTGTAAGCGTGTAGGCAGGAAGAGATGCGTTTTCCCGCAGCTCCCCCTTCACGGAAAATGAAGGCATATAACAACATCAATATGCACGGTTACACTCACTATATAGTAAATCACAAAGAAAATTTCGTAGATCTTCATACTAATTGTCACACGCAAAACATCGAAAGAATTTGGCGAGATATGCGAAGTAATATTCCACGTTTCGGGACATCGGTAGAACATTAATTGAATTCTTCACTTGACACTTAATTGAATTCTTCATTTTTTTGTGAGGAGGGAGCAGGGGAAAAGAGCGAAGCCCCTACTCCTGCGGGGGGGCACAGCCGCACTGCCTACACGCTTTCAACACAAACAAAATGTACACGGTGTCGAAAAATAAGAATTCATTTCTGATATGAAAATAACAGTTTATTGGCGCAACTTCTTTTGTTTATAATTTTTTAACAAACAACGACGGCTAAAAATTGCATGTTGTTCAGAAAGGTGTCCTTGACAACATATGTTAAGGTCATTATCCTCCGGAAGTGCTATGTTTTTCTGAATGTTTACCCAACAATCTGGCTATTTGCTCGATTTTTTTACTGATTGCGTAAAACCTAATCGTATACTAATACGCAATTACATTAAGTCTTTTCTTTAATTACATATTTATTAAAATCAAGATTTTCTATCCTTTTTGTGCTAACCTATCAGCTTGATTTGTATTTTAACTAACCAACTTTATATAAATTCTTACTATAATACACACACTATAATTGCAATGTTTTTAACAAAACGATCTTGTATAATTTAAAAAAAAAATTTTCTTTTTAAAAAAAAGAAAGAAAGCATTAAGTACACGCGCACAACTCGTATCTTTAAAAAGTATTATTATATTACTGTGCTACATAAAAACTCTTTCTCTACAAAATCTATTCTAAAAAAAAAAATAATATCACTAAGTAGCGTTAAGTAAATTTTGCACATTTATACATTGTATCAAAATAAAATATTAGAAAACTATAAAAATAGCTTTGCGTGGAAAACCTTAAATCATGTCAAATTATACATCTATAGACTACGCTGTACGTAAAAAATCAAAAATTCTTATATGGAATTATTTTCAAAATAAAAAATATTACATACGAAATAAAATACAAAATAACTTGTCGCGGCTGCACCGAAAAGNTTTACTATAAAAATGCTTTAAAAACTGAATACAAATACTTAATCACTTTTTTTAAATTGACGCTACTAGAGTACTTGGCTAAGTGCGGTAATTTATCTTTTTTTTGTATAGAAACACTAGATGTTTATATAGATTTTATGAAAATAAAGTGATTACTTTCTAGACAAGTATTTAATACATGTGTTTTGTATGTACGTTTTGATAAAAAAAACTTGTTGTTATTAAACAGTTTAGGAAATAGATTTTGTAAATTTTTATAAAACTTAAATTTTATAAAAATAGATATATATAAATTAGTATTACTCTTTAGACAGATATACGAATAATGTTTTGATAAAAAGACTTATTTTTATCAAATTATAATTGTTTTCAATGTACTAACACTGCAGTAAAATAATTTTTTAAACTATTTTCAAGCAACATACGTGACACTTCTTGAATATAAATTAAACTGGACTATGAACAACATTTTGAGTCATAATTAATTACATGACTTTTACTTTGTAACTACCTACGTGGCATAATCAGGGACGAAATTAAGTATGCGCAAACAACAATCGGTATATATTTAGAAAAACGGAGCACCTTTAGAGGTCAATGAGCTTAACATATTTTGTCAAGGACTTTCCTGAACAACAATCTGCAACTTTAGCAGTCGCTCGTTGTTCGTTGAAAAAATATAAACAAAAGAAATATCATAAATGAACTCTTATTTTCCGACACCGTGCACAGTTTGTTCGTGTTGTAAGCGTGTAGGCAGGAAGAGATGCGTTTTCCCGCAGCTCCCCCTTCACGGAAAATGAAGGCATATAACAACATCAATATGCACGGTTACACTCACTATATAGTAAATCACAAAGAAAATTTCGTAGATCTTCATACTAATTGTCACACGCAAAACATCGAAAGAATTTGGCGAGATATGCGAAGTAATATTCCACGTTTCGGGACATCGGTAGAACATTAATTGAATTCTTCACTTGACACTTAATTGAATTCTTCATTTTTTTGTGAGGAGGGAGCAGGGGAAAAGAGCGAAGCCCCTACTCCTGCGGGGGGGCACAGCCGCACTGCCTACACGCTTTCAACACAAACAAAATGTACACGGTGTCGAAAAATAAGAATTCATTTCTGATATGAAAATAACAGTTTATTGGCGCAACTTCTTTTGTTTATAATTTTTTAACAAACAACGACGGCTAAAAATTGCATGTTGTTCAGAAAGGTGTCCTTGACAACATATGTTAAGGTCATTATCCTCCGGAAGTGCTATGTTTTTCTGAATGTTTACCCAACAATCTGGCTATTTGCTCGATTTTTTTACTGATTGCGTAAAACCTAATCGTATACTAATACGCAATTACATTAAGTCTTTTCTTTAATTACATATTTATTAAAATCAAGATTTTCTATCCTTTTTGTGCTAACCTATCAGCTTGATTTGTATTTTAACTAACCAACTTTATATAAATTCTTACTATAATACACACACTATAATTGCAATGTTTTTAACAAAACGATCTTGTATAATTTAAAAAAAAAATTTTCTTTTTAAAAAAAAGAAAGAAAGCATTAAGTACACGCGCACAACTCGTATCTTTAAAAAGTATTATTATATTACTGTGCTACATAAAAACTCTTTCTCTACAAAATCTATTCTAAAAAAAAAAATAATATCACTAAGTAGCGTTAAGTAAATTTTGCACATTTATACATTGTATCAAAATA